TGTCGGATGGGCACAGACTGTCACCGCGTTAGCCCGAAAAACGTACATGATAGAAGGGGGTCTGCAATACGAATCGTACCTCTTCGAAATTCTGTAAAATTGCGTCGGCCTCGGCTTGGCGAGAAATTTTGGCACCTTGAATCATCTTCATTCCCCTGATGTATTTGACGAAATCGCCATCTAATGAAACATCAACAGGGGCATTGTCAACTGCCACCACATTTGATACCATTTCCGGAGAGCGAAGAGCAAGCGTCATGGCCGTCTTTGCACCCCTGAATCATCAGACTCTCGTTAGAGAATTCAATTCACTGGTCAATCAATTGATAGATTATATGTATAGAACGTACATTGAATGGCCGATAATACTAACATCAGTAAGCATTTTATCCTTGATAAATGACGAGACGTCTTCTGCCATCGATAGATAATCATGCCGCTCGTTATGCGGAGATTCCCCATGATTTCGCAAGTCCTGGTAATTTAATTTGTGTTTAGCACGCGAATGACCATCTTGCGTGCTGACTGATCAGACTAACCAAGGCGTATACGTATCTGCCTAAATCGCGAGCTATTGCTCTGATGAAACAACAAAGTAAGCATTTTACACTATGCTGGTATGAAACTTGAAAGGCTTACTTGCTGATTCCCCTGTTATTCTTCTTAGAACCAAAAAGTCCATGCAGGAAGAGTATGGGAGAGGTTGTTGCATTTACTTTTGGCTTTGCCGGTTCGTGTAAGTCGAACGCCAGAGGTCGTACAGCTTCGGGTTCAGAATTATGGGAATAGTGTCTGCTCAGTTGCCATGCAGCCCGAGTCATCGCTGCATTATAGCAGTTAAGATAGGCTCTAGAAGCGGTTGATATTAACATAGCGATTCTGGCGCGCAGTGAAAAAATTAGGCCGGCAATGGTCCACAGGAAAAAATTAGCTGGCCAAGTCGCTTTTGAGGCGAAAGATCTGTTATCACGACGGAGTCTTGATAAGTCACCAATGTGGGTCCCAACAATCTGGCTGGGATGCTTCCTTCTTGTCCGCTAATGACCTTGAAAGGGATGGCCATAAAGTATTATAGATGTATAAATCCTTTCAGGGACGCAATTGAATACCAGGTAAATTTGTAGGAATTTTTGGGACAACTTCACGCAAAAAAACATGTCAACAGTTTGCCTGCCATTGAACCATTTATCGACTAGCGCCCTGGAGTCTGAAAGGACAGTTCAACCAGCCCGAGTGCCTACCAATAAATGCCTACCCCCTAAGTACCTACGCAGAGTACGGAGTGCCTAAGGAACAATCACAGATGTGGGGCTGCCAGCTGTCCACAATTCAATCGACGTCCTCTTCCCCTCGAGATCTCGTCAACAAACTTTCCTGTGTTTTGAACTCCGAGGGTTTCATGACGGTTGATGTCAGTTTCTGAACTGAACCTCAACTTGAGCTCCTCTCGTTCTCTATTCCGAGATCAAGTACTTCCCCCCTCGACCTCTGGC